TTGGGAAGTAATGTCAATCAGATCATTAGTTTATTAAAGACACTCACTGATGCCTCCAAGATTATGGTTAGCTAAGTGTTAATCAACAAAGGGTTCTGATGATAAGCTAGAAGAGGTGATTGTATTTTAAAGGGTTTTGTTCCCCTAAAAACTTGCTTCCTTTATTTAAGCTTCTGGAGGTCCAGGGTTTATTTGGATTGTTGTGCCTCATTCTGCTATCAATAAACAATGATAAACTCCCCATCTACCAGGGCCAGTCTGTCACCAAATCCTTTTTTTTTTTTAAAGCAATTGTAGAATTTCTTGGAATTAATCTTTACCAGTATCCCGTCCTTTAGCAATTTCTTGCTACATAGCATAAGACTGGTTTAAGCAAGATCATGCATACTTTGTTAGAGATAGAAAAATTTACATTTATAACCCTTTCTTCCTTTCCAATCAAGTACTGGATGCAACTTATCCAAAAGGAGATGGATTAATAAATTGCTTCTAGCCCACCAAGGGCAATGGAGTATTGTTTAAAGGATATCAGTGTCAAAGAGACCTTGGTTTGAGTCCCGGCTCCACCATTTTCCTTTTTTTTTTTTTTTTTTTAATTTTCTAATTTTATTTAAATCCAGGTTAATTAACATACAGTGTAATAATGATTTCAGGAGTAGAATTTAGTGATTCATCACTTACATATAACACCCAGTGCTCATCCCAACAAGTGCCTTCTTTAATGCCCATCACCCATTTAGCCCATTCCCCACCCAACACCCCTCCAGCAGCCCTCAGGTTGTTCTCTGTATCTAAGAGTCTTTTATGGTTTGCCTCCCTCTCTCACCAAGTCCTTTCAACGCTTCCTTCATAGTGTTCTCTGAATTCAGTCATCTCATTCTGGTATCTGATCCAGGTACCCAGTCTCTGTACCATTATAAAAAGCTTCATCCATTTTTTCATCTCTACATATTCCAGACTATGCCACCAATGGAACATTTACCATTTTTATCCTATCACTCCCTTGCTCAAGAACTTTTGACACTTGATTGTTTCTGATCAAATGCAAACTGTGTTGTTGAACTTTCAGGATTATATTGTCAACTTTAATCTATGGCTATGTAAACAGATATTCAATGTAAGGCTCAAAGCAGGGTTCATTTAAATGGTATGCTACTCTCCCTCCATTCAGACTTCTGCTCCAGTTGACAAGAATTTTACTATTCCTTGAATATATCATGCTCTTCCTGACTCTTAGGTTTTGCTCAGCTTTTCTGTTTGGCAGGAAAAAGAAGAATTGCTAAAAGTTGTGTCGCCCCCATTTTTTTATACCTGGTACCCAGAAATGCTACACTGCTTTTCAATACCCTACCCATCTTCAAGACCTGGCAGACTATCACATCTCCCAAGAAGCTGTTCTCATCTGCTCTTGGTGACACGGATTTTTCCCCAAATCTCTTTGCCTTATGAAACCCATAGGAAGGATCATGCAACACTCCTCTTTTGCACATCTCACCCACCTTTGGAAGGTTGCTGGAAGCACAGAAACTAAGTTCAGCTCATTGATAAAAGGAGAGGCAGGGATACCCACAATCCACCAATTGGATAACTAGTCCCTAAATAATCTCAGGTCATTTATGCTATAAACCCTACCTTGACATTAAGTAGATGTGGGAGATATAGGTGGGACATAAAATTGCTTAAATGGTTTATATTTTCCTTAATACTCCAGAATCAATTATCATAGATACAAGGACCAGTTGAGTACATAATTTGTATCAAGCACTATGCTAAATGTTTTACCTATATAGTGTTATTTAATTCTTACAATAAATGTGTGAATTATCACTATATACCCCTTGTGGGAAACTGAAGTTCAGCAAAATTGAGTGACTTCACCAAGATCAAAGAAATAGTGATGGAGACGGGTCTAGAAACCACATCTTCCTGACTCCAAAGCCTTAGCCTGGAGTCCAAAGACTCCAGAGGTTAAGGACAAACCTCTACACCAACACATCTTAGAAAAATGCAAAATATACAAAAACATGCAAGAAGTTTAATGTAACTTAATATAACTGTATTAGGCACCCAAGAATGAATAAATTAATATTAACAGGAAAAGATGTCTCTTTTCTCATGGACTCTGCATACCCCTCAGCAATAAATCCATGAATATGGAGATGCTTCCCAAAATTCCACCTTAGCTCCCCCATTTACAATGGAAGTCTAGGATGTTTTCCTTTATTTCCCCCTAAATGTGTGGTCTAGAATGCACTGGAATTCAAAAGGCATGCACAGTGTGTGTGATGGCAAGTGTTACTCACTGTGACACTCCACATGCTCCTTCTTCAAGAATTCAGAGGGAGTGTCTCCAAATATCTGCAAAGCATCTTTCTGTACACTCACAAGTTCATGTGCATGCAAAAATACAGATTCCTGGGCCTCCATCTGTACCTACTGCATAAATGCGAATATACAGGACTAGGGCCTGGGAACATGTATTTTTGATGAGGGCTCTCAGATGATTATTCTGAGAAAAGCTGAGAAACACAGAAACCCATTCCTGCCCTGGATTCTCTAGTTGGATGCCTTTTTAGAGATACGAGGACACATAGATCATAAGGGGAAAAAATTTTAATTTTAGCAATTTCTTTATAAATCTTCCTAAGCATCTTTTTGTGGCACTACTGGAAATAAATGACAACCCCTTTTTGAAGCTACCATCTCAAAAAAAAACCCATGAATTTCAAAAGTGGGCATTCCTGGGACATTTGAAAGACTGGAACAGATCAATCTAAATTGACTGATACAAAACATGCAAGAGCTCCCAGTCAGGGGCCAATAAAGGATGGTGGCAAATTAATTACAAGCTGTATGTCTTGTACTTCAAGGAAGAGTCTATTCACGCGGCCCAAATATCAAGATCCACCTCTCCATGGCTCTTTTCTGTACATAAATTAAATTCTGTTAAAATAAAGATGAGGAAATGGTACATTTATTTGTCTCGTCCAAAATTATGATACAATAATATTGCTTGGACAAAACAAGTTCATACACTAAAACTTTCTTTGTAAGGCTGTTGGCTATAATAAGACTTGTTCTGGGACACAGTCACAGGGAAGAAAATTATACTTCTTTCTCCCTGGATTTGGAGGTCTTGAGAGCTAGCCACTCAAGCATGAACTATTCCTCAAAATCTTGCACTTATGAAATGCATAAAAGCAGGAGGGACTTTTCTTTTCCTTTTCAGAGAAGTGATATAACATAGAGTTCAGATTCATAAATCTAGAGACCTGAGTTTAAATCAGAACTCTGTTACCTACTAACAGTGTGGTCTCTGGACCTCAAGTTCTCTTTCTGTAAATTGGCAATTCTAATGCCTACATTGCATGGTTATTTTTTTTTAAGATTTATTTATTTATTTGAGGAATAAATAAATAAATAAATCTCTATACCAAAAGTGGGGCTCGAACTCATAACCCCCAGATCAAGAGTCTTGTGCTCTACTGATTCAGCCAGCCAGCCACCCCTATGTTGCATGGTTATTTTATATTTTTTTAATGTTTTTATTTATTTTTGAAGGAGAGAGAGAGAGAGAGACAGAGCATCAGCAGGGGAGGAGCAGAGAGAGGGAGACACAGAATTCAAAGCAGGCCCCAGGCTCTAAGCTGTCAGCACAGAGCCCGATGCAGGGCTCAAACTCACAAACTGTGAGATCATGACCTGAGCCGAAGTCGGACACTCAACCGACTGAGCCACCCAAGCGCCCCTGTTGCATGGTTATTTTAAAGATTCGAAATAATACATGTGAATGCCTAATACAAAAGAGGAATGCAATTAATGTTAACTATCATTTCTTTGTTGGGATAGAGTGGTTTGCCTATTGGGAGAATTTCCCTTTACCCCTGTGCTTGAAGGCAACCCCTGAGTGGAGATATAGGACAACAGCAGACCATGGGAAGAGGGTCAAAAGAACAGATGATGAAGAGTCAAGGCTTCACTTCTCCTTACTCTGGAACATATCCTCCACGGGGGGCTGCACAGTCCAGGAAAATGGAGCCACATATGTCCTACCACCATAATTACTTGATAGAGTAACTGGCTGTGTAATGTCAGACTTCAGAGAGCCCAGACCCTTACTTTCCATTCTTTTAGGGATAAACTTGGTCGTTTCCAATTATTACGTTTTAAAATACTACTCCTACAGTGGCACTGTAGGAAGAAGAATAGATGATTGACTGATTGATTGATTGATTGATTGATTAACAGAATCAGCCCTCAAAAGACCCAAAGTATAAATGCTAATGTTGTCTGAGCACATGATTACGTGATTTTAACAGATAACAGACTAAGAGAGAAGGCTTACGCCAGTGAAAGAGATCCAAGCATTCCCTTCCTCGCATCTGTGACCTCACACCACCTGAGGTCTCCATGATAGGTGGTGTAATTCAGTATGTGTGTTAAGAGGCCACTGAGGGGAGCCATGACAAAGGGCTCTAAGTATGGCAGCCTCACCTCAGACCTTACTGTTTCGAGAGGGTCTGTCTCACCTGTCCCATTCATCCCTCTGGCTGAAATCTGTTGATTCAGCCGGAAGTGGGGGAGCACCAGTGGGAAACCAGCATTTGGAACTTGGGCTCCAGGAAATGCTACTGGAACCAGGACAGTGATATTTTTATATTACCTAACCAACTGCCAGCACTTCTATAAATGTTTCCTCACACAGTTTCAACAATGACATACGTTGGAATCATTAGAAGTGGTTATAGCTCCATGTATTTGATAATAAAAGAAAGTGGGGAAAGTAAAAAGGAAGAAGGAATGTGCTAAAACAACCAGAGGACTGGAAATGGGGGAAGCATCACCAGAGGCATTTCTGGAGGCCACACTCGAACAAGACATGATGAAAAATCACACGCCCCATCATTAGGTCATGCCAGGCATGCATGTTTAAACACCCTTTGTGGAACAGGAAAAGATGATGGTTAAGAGGTGACCCTTTCCCTGGGGGCAGAGCATACCTGAGGCATTATCGAGGCTGAAGGCGATGCGTACTGGCTTATCTGCAGGTACCCTGGCTGTGCTGATCATGTGGGCACCTGAGCCTTGGCCTTCCCCTGGGTCTTCCAGCTGTAAGGACAAAAGAGAGCCGTTGTCATTTACCCAAGTCGTCCTTCAAATATTCAGAGGAACTTGGAAAGTTAGTAAGCATTACTGTCTTATTTTGAAGATACTCCTAGTCCCTAGCTTTCCTCCCCTGCATGGAAAGTATTTACCTGTCCCATGTAAAATTCTTTTTCTGGCTTATAGAAGAATTGTTTTGGAAATACACACCTAGAATAAAATATACAAGATAGAGCAAAATCTCCACCCACCTCGCTTTTTTAGTATCCCTTCACACTGACCGGTCCAACCCTAGCCCTTCAAGGTCTGATATAATGTTTTATTTTGATTGAGGGGGATGAAGAAGTCCTAAGAGGGCATCAGACAGCTTCATATTAGATTAGCTTTTCACACTCAAATGCCTAAATCGGACCTGAATTATTGAGTGGTAAAGAATGAGTATCACAGAACCATTTCAAGAACACCAAGACTATTTTTAAATATCTTACTGTTATATTATGAACATTATGGGCTTTGAATATCTAATTAACTACATGTAAATATATGAAACACTTCTCAGATTGTACATCTTAGCAACGTATGATACAAGCAAAAGACAGAACTTAAAAACATTCTATTGATGCACGTGTTAAATTATCATTTAATTAATAAAGATAGAATGAATGGGAAAACATCCTACAGATGAGTTAGGATGGGCAAAAATACATGAATATTTCCTTGGTATAATAATAGAACTTAGCACAAATACATTTTAACCAAGATATTTGATAATTTTTGTTCAATGGGACTAAGGAAAAGATATTGTTATACATATATCTTCATTATTTGAATACATATGTGCAACTTTTCTATTTTTAATCATGCTTCCCTAAACTCTCTGCTTTCCTTGTCATGTAAGCAGTACATGAGTACCAAGTGATATTTTAAGGAAAAAACTGAGTGATATTTTAAGGAAAAAACTGAGTGATATTTTAAGGAAAACGTCTCTAAAAATGGCAAAATATAAATCATCTCTTCTGCCATCCTGAGCGAGCTTCTGGGAAATGTTTACCAGGACATTTTCTCATAGCAAGGTTTCTGACTCTTTCCCATAACTTTTCTATATCTAAAAATAGTGTCTAGGACAGTGAATTTTGTTTTTACGCTTATTTATAGAGCAGACACGAATGCATATGTATATTTATATACGCACACACGTATATTTAGACATACATACATATGGAATCATCCTACCCCGTACATGGTAAGAGAACAAGCTTATATTAAACACCTAGTACAGCTTTGGAGAAAAACCCACAGCTGTTTATCACCCAGTTAGAATGATATTCGGCCCATTCATTTAAAACTACAAATAGCAGTGAACCATAAAGCACTCCGAGTCGTGTCGTTTTAAGTTAGAAAAGAGTAATCACGTGAAACATTCAACGTAAGAAAAGGGTAATATGAAATTGCTGTTACTTGACTCAGGATTTGTTTTATCTTAGCTCTGACATACATTTCTGTGTAGTCTCCTCTGCTTAGAATCAACCATCTTGTTAGCCACCTGTTCCTAGGGAATAGAACAGACTGTCTCAAATTTGACAAAACAAACAATAAAAAGCCCCTTCAAGTTGCAGCTAAAAGAAAAAGCCTTATTGTTATGCACTATACCGTCACCAACCCATTTTATCCTAGCATCTAGGGATGAAAAGCACACCTCTTTTGGCTACATTTCCCAACGCTTTCCTGCACCAAGAAACAGAGCACAAAATGTGAAAATTTGCCTCTAGGTTTCTCGTGCCGGGCAATGAAATTGATAAACACAGCTCATTAGAGCCCCTCCCCTCCACACAACCAAGAACATCTGTCTGCCTCAGGAAGGATGACAACAGCCAAGTGGGGTAGATTTTGAGTTCCCCACGGTGTCGGCCAGGAGAGCCCCTAAAGCAACTTGCCTTTTCATCACACCGCCTGGGGAGATGGACCACTGATTCCTCCTCTCGGCTGTAACAGAGCTTTGGTTCAGTGGCCGGTGCCCCGAGCATTTAGTTCGGTTTTCACACCTGTTGCCTTACCTCACTTAGTTGAGTGTCTGCACTTGTGTAATCCAGGGCCAGCCGCTGCCTTGGCCGGTCGTTGCCTTTGTGGAGTGAAGACCTAGTAAGAGGGCAGGCTGCACCTGCTGCATAGCAACCACTGACAATCTGAGGAGCAGTGACAGCTGTCAGGGCAGCTCACTGCTACCTGCTCTCCCCCAGACCCCCGCGTCCCACGGGCCTCCTGTTCCGCTTCCCTCCACAACCCCTCTCTCCTTTCCTTGCCTCTCCAACAGCCAGGATGTTGTCATGCTTCTAGAAAAAGCAAGTGCAAAAGAAAACCCTCCTCCTGTCAGAGGCATTGATAAACAGCAAGTTGTGGAGAGTCCAAATGTTTTAATTCATTAGTCCTGGCAAACCTAAAATACAAACAGACTTGCTTCACAAGACAGGAATGTCTTCAGCGTGACCCAATCGGTGTCTGTGTCTATTCCAGCAAACTGGCAAAGATAGCATGACTCCAGTCAGCAAAAATGTCGGCAGCTCCAATCAGCTCAGCAAGACCCAGCCAACTTGGACAGACCGCAAGCTAACTCTCAGATGATAGCAGCAACGATCCCGGTTAAGAACGTGAGGTTTGAGATGGAGCCACTGATGGGCTTGATGACTTGATCCCATCTACAAGTGCACTTGACCGCCAAACCAGTCAATGGGGAGAAGGAATGGAGCATTAGAACTGTGCAACCTTTTTAATAGCTAATAAACCTGAAGGTCAGTAGTACTTTGAGAGAGTTGGGTGGTGATGTTGAGGTCAAACAATTAAAGAAAAATAAGTATTAAGAGGATGCAAAGACAAGCCATAGATGGGAAGAACAGCCTTTGCAAAATAAGTACCAGAAAAAGAACTAGTATCCAAAATATAAGAAGACCTCTTTAAACAATAGGAAAATAAATCCAATGTAAAAAATGGGCAAAAGATCTGAGCAGACACCTCACCAAAGATGGCAAATAAGCAAATGAGAAGCTGCTGAGCACCATATATTATTAGAGAATTACAAATTAAAACAACTGTGAGTTACCACTGCACACATATTAGAATGGTCAAAACCAAAACACTGACAACACCCAGTACTGACAAGGATGCAAAATGGCTCAGCCACTTTGGAAGACAATTTGGCAGTTTCTTACAAAACTAAATGAACTCTTACCATATGATCCAGTAATCACACTCCTTGGTATTTACCTAAAGTCGCTGAAAACTTCCATCCACACAAAAACTTAACACCCGCGTATCTACGGCAGCTTTATTCATAATTGCCAGAGCTTGGAGGAAACAACACGTCCTTTGGAAAGTACAAACTGCGGTACATCCAGACAGTAGAATGTTATTCAGTGATAAAAAGAAATGATCACTTAAAACAAAAAGACATGGGAAAAAAACCTTACGTGTACATTACATTTTTTAATGTTTATTTATTTATTTTTTTTAAATGTTTATTTATTTTTGAGACAGACAGAGACAGAGCATGAATGGGGGAGGGGCAGAGAGAGGGGGAAACACAGAATCCGAAGCAGACTTCAGGCTCTGAGCCGTCAGCACAGAGCCCGATGCGGGGCTCGAACTCACGGACCGTGAGATCATGACCTGAGCCGAAGTCGGACGCTTAACCGACTGAGCCACCCAGGCGCCCCTATTTATTTATTTTTGAGAGAAAGAGAAAGCATGAGCAGGAAAGGGCAGAGAGAGAGAGAGACAGAGAATCCCAAGCAGGCTCTGTGCTGTTAGCACAGAGCCAGACCCGGGGCTGGAACTCACGAACTGTGAGATTGTGACCTGAGCTGAAATCAAGAGACAGATGTTCAAACTACTGAGCCACTCAGGTGCCTCTTAAGCATATATTATTAAGTGAAAGAAGCCAATTTGAAAAGGCTACAGACTGCCTGATTCCAACAATGAGACATTCTGGAAAAGGCAAAATTAGGAAGACAGTAAAAAAGGTCTGTAGATGCCAGAGATTCAGGAGAGAGGCAGAGAAGGTCAAACAGGTGGGATGTTTAAGGCAGCGAAACTGTTCTGAATGATACTATCATGGTGTATACAGGTCAGTATACATTTGTCAGAATCCACAAAATGTACAACACCCAGAGTGAACCCTAACCTAAACTATGGACTTTAGTTAATAATATATATATTGGCTCAATGATTGTGACAAATGTACCACACTAAGGCAAGATGCTGATACTCGGGGAAATAAACAGGGAAGAAGCATTGGGAGGGCATATGGGAATTCTGCTTTGAAATTTTTCTTTCCTGTAAACCTGAAGCTGCTCAAAGAAGGTTAAATAACTAAGACTTAGCAGTTTCCCTTGATCTCATGAATAAAAGGCTAATTTGTTAGGATATTCACAGCAATAAATGGCACAGATTCAGATGATTAGAGCATTCACCTGTAAACCTATTTGCATTTCGCAACTGCAGACCTTTTCAGGAATTATTACTGTTTTGCTGTTATTTTATGGTTAATATCACTTTCCATAATGCATTCTAATTTATCAAGAGATCTTATCCACTACCTTATCTTTATCTTCCCTGTAATCCTGTAACACAATCGTGGTCAATATTGTCATCCCTATAGGTGAGCAAACTGAGACTCAGACAATCTAAGTAGCAGGCTTAAGGGGTAAATGATACGTATGGAATAAAGAACCCAGATCGTATCTGGGTTTTCTAATTGGAGGTTCATGCTATTTCCACTACACCAGATGCACTCCGTATGAAATATCCAAACTGAATTAGTTCATTAACAATGTCTGACTCTCAACTTCTGCCTCGGAGAAGACAGAAGTGAAACTTTCTTCAATGGTCTGGCATCCAGATTCATCTGACACCAGCCATATTTATCACCACACCCCAAGGAAATCCAAGTTGTTCATTCTATCTGTGATGATAGGGAAGGGGGTACCACA